GTATAGGCTTGCTCGTTAAGACTTCAGTAACACTAAAGCAACATCTAGGAACATAAGCAATGTGTAGGAATGTTGAATAAAGGGCAGTGTGTTGTAAAAGAAGTACACTGTAAAGAAAAAACATATCATGTGTTGCTAAGCTGTAATGCCATCTGTATACAAAACAGAGTGTACCATGAAGCAATGCCAACAAGTCATCTTCCAGTTTAAGCACAGGTTCCTTCTATATTCAAATAGATATCAACCTTTATGACATAAAACAAAGTAACTGGCTAAACCATGTATCAATATTTTAGTGAGTTCATGTCTCCGCAGCTAATGCAAAACCTCCTCGTATTCTTTCAGCGGGTGTTGTATAAAGGATGCCAAGGTCACAAGCATTGTACCGGCATTAGGTACGCAGAACCGCTTGAGCCTATTTTCATCGTCGCTCTCCGTCATTTACTGGTACCGCTACCATTTGCTTCAAGCAAACTGCAGAACAGAGATGCAAATTTATCATCCCCAGTACTCAAGCCATGAAGGCAAAGTGATCAGCAACAAAAGAACTGAAATATATTCGTTGTATGCAATGGTCTGTGAAAGCTCGTATTTCACAAACCAGGAGGCCTGGTCCTTGGATGAGGGTGATCGGCTCAGTTCTCTCACCTTTGGTGGAGCTACACCACTTTCCACCAGCACAGAAGATCTGGCCAGTTACCTGCGGCAGTGTCATGCTCCTTCTTTGGAAGTATCTATCTTTTCAGATGCTGTAACACCTGCTACACCTTCCAGGTTTCTCTGGTATAGTCAAGATTTACTGTCATCCCAGACAGCCTCCCCCTACAGCAGCATTCCCTGGTGTTCGCTTTCAGTTTGCTTCTTAATTGTTATTCAGCGCTGTGGCTAGGTAATTGTGGGTTGTTTTTTTCTTTTTCCATGTTCCATGTGCCTTCACATTTTCCTTCCAGCCTCTATCCTTCTGCAGTCTTTTCTCTCAAGAAAAACATTCTGCAGGAGCGGTTCGATGTACAACCTCAGCACTACCCATACTGTCACCTTTTGATGGAAGAGTTCCTTCTGTGATGCTGCTAAATACCCGTCCTCATATTTACAGTTCTCAGGTGAGTGTGTTGGATGAGCGGGCAGTTCACTGCCTGCTTTGTCTGCTTTGCTTACAGAAACGGGTCTCAGATCATACTTTACACTAATTCTGCTCTGTAGTACACATAATTTTTTTGATTAAATCTGATCTACCACAAGGATAGCAAAACTCTTTCATCTGTAACATTCCTGGGTATATAAGCCATTTTTTTTTGTACAGTGTTGCAATGTGAAGATTGCAACTGAGAATGTTTTGTTTTCCAATATTTTTAGGCCCTAATTATTTAATATGATCTCTTCTGTTTGTCCCCTGTGTTTTCACGCTTCCTAAAATAGATCACTGTACTGGTGTAAATATGAACATATAATGCTAAGGTTTCAGAAAGATCTTACTAGTCTTTTTCTTTTTTACATAGTTGACTGCAGAACTGATTGAAGGTGTTGTAATGTGATAAGAAGCCTGTGACAGCATTTGATAGTATTTATGTTCTCTCCAGATGACCTGTTTTCAGAAGAATTTCTTCAAATGGCTTGCCAATATGCACAGTCCCTACACTGCAAATTACTTACTATTTATATTACTTAATGTTAGAACATGTATCAAAAAACAATTAAAATTGAATGTTTTCAAGTATGATTGGTTAATATTACTTGTACTGCTGTGGCTGGAAGCACTATTTTTGAATGTCAGAAAATGTACAGCGAATGCCTGTACATGAATAATGGATTGAAGATTAATGAAAACAGATTTGTTTATTTTTGTATTTCAAGACAGAGAGTAATGTAACAGTCATCAAATATCCCTAGTATATTTCCATTTAGAACAAAAGCCTGAAAGCAATTATTTGGCATAATGCATGCTAACAAAGAAATCCAACGATGCAGTAAATAATTAGTTGATTGCAAGGATAATTCTCTAGCCTACATTTGCAGAAAACAATAGTATTCTCCATCTCTCCCTTATAGCCCATGCAATTAGAGCTTGTGAGGCTGCCGGGAGCAGGGTGCGAGGTTATGGAAAGAGGTGGTCTGGCCGTTTCCCACCCGTCCTTGCACACCTGCCCTATTGGAGACATGGGCCCAAGTGCATCGTCTGCTGCATTTCCACAGCCTCATCAAAAGAGTAAACATAGGGAGTCTTGTTCTCCTTAATCCAGCTTCCCCTACTGAGGGCTCACGCTGGAAAAGGGGCTGTCTGAAATCACTGTGGTCCGTAAAAGACCCTCCTAGGCGTCACTGGTGGTTTGAGCAGTTGCACGTGCGCGCTTTGCGGTGCCGCCCCAGGCCCGGCGCGGGCAGGACTTTGGCGCTTCAGTTCAGTGCATGCAGAAAGCAGAACGCCCGAAGCCAAGGGGCGGGTCTGCAGATCACCGCAGATACTGGACTCCCATTCATTCATGGCCACGCTGCTTCCAATTCATTTTTTTAGTATTGTCATCTGATAAATAGACTGGGTTTAAATTACAAATGCTTCCAAATTCTTTTTTTCCCCTTGTCTAGCAACAAGTTTATGAAGCCCAACTGAAAAGTGTGTATTGGGCTAACTTAAATAGTTAATAAATTACTGTGATTACGTATTTTATAGTATACAAATGAATGTTTATGCATTTATCTGCACAGGAACAGTCCCTGAATCTAATCGTACACAGCCTTTGCTATTCTTAGACTCTATGCCTAGGGCAGATTCTCAACAGGATATAAAAATTTGGCTTAGCAACGGAATCTGTAATGTGTGCTTGAACATCGCTGCACCACTATACGTGCTCTGCTTTAGGCAGTCTTTTAAGTATTTTAAGAATTCATCTCAGGGTAGTATACAACTACAGAAATGAGGCTTATAAGCAACTAAATAATTAGTGAAAACAAATAAATGAAAATATCAAATACTGCTGGCAGCACTTAAATTACAAATGCTGATAGTAGCTTTCAGCGCTGAGGAAATGAAGAATAAGGAGCAGGAAAACAGCCACTGACTACAGTAAACCCAAATGTAAAAGGCGGTAATCTAACCAGAGAGCTAGCACCACAACCTGCCTGATCTGTGCAAATGAAAAGTATTCCATTAAAAGGACATGAATTACAGTAACAGTTGCCAAACACATACATGCAAATACATACATACACGTGTGTATCTGCGAGTACGTACATATGCTGAAAGCGTAATAAACTAAATAAATTGTTCTACTATGTGTGTTGCTTAGCATTTTGGGCTTTGCCTAGAGCTACCTGTTGAGGTGTAGTGGGGGCTCTCCTCTTGCCCTGCACCCAGGTTTCTTTACAGGAGCCCTCCGGGTCCGACTACACAGGCAGAGCCACTGTGGTTCTGTCTAACGTGGCCTTTTGTCCCGACAAGTGCCCAATGGATCATTTTGTCAGTACAAATCCACGGTCCCTTCATGAAACCTTTTTAACACAATTCAGTTTGCTCTAGTGTAGTTCATTCCTGCCTTTTGAATGTTTCTATGAAGTAAAAAAGGGTCTTTCAACACAAATAAGCAGATGAAAAATAAAGTAACATTTCAGATGAAGGAAAACACCGTGAGGAAGGCTGAATTTTTGTTTTTATCATGTATTTAATGGAAGTACTTGATACTCATAGCATCAACTAGCAGATCACCAAAATTTTTGCAAAAGTAAAATATATGCAGGTAAATTTTCACTGTGCACTGCATGAATTTAATAAGGCTGCATCACTGAAAGCCAGGGTGGACAAGAGGGTGGGGAATGCAGGGGAGATTCCTCCTCAGAGGGGAGAAGGATACGGTTAAGAGATCTTGGAACACCAGCTGATGCTTTACAGATCTGCAATGTTGAGTACTCCTCAGTATAAAATACTTCCTTCTTTGTTGTTATTTGAAAATTTTGAATTTATTTTAGAGTGAAAAAGATACATTTGCATTCCTCACCAGAAGACCTGAAGGGTAAGGGGTCAATGCAACGATGGACCTGTGACCAATGTTTCTAACAGCCTTTTGCATCCAAGGAAGAGCCTGTTACTTGAATTTTCTTCAGTTCCAGTATTGGTACTGTATTGGCTGAATTATACTGTAAAATTAGAATGTTTATCAAAGGCCAAGAAGGCAATCAAACGCTTAGTATTTTTTTTATTTTTTTTTCTGATCAAGGGAGGTCAAAACATAGATGCAAGCAGTTCAAGCATTAAATACCCCAATCAACAAAACCACGTAGAAAGGAGGAAAATGGAGGACTGAAAAAACCCCACCGGTTTCTGCTATTTTCCCCTATTTATTACAGACACATGCTTCCAAAGGGATTTGTTTTTTCACATGGATGCATGTCACAAAAGGTTAAAATTCACCGAAAACTCTCATACAGCTCTTGTGGCTTGTTTCCGTTATTTGACACAAACCTCCCACGTCTGACAGGGCAGGAATTCGGTATCTGCAGGAGGGACAGGCCGGATGCCTTCTCTTTCCAAGACAGGTAGCCATGACACCTGCTAGCGCAGGACAGCCA